GATTTTTCATGGTTCAAAGGAGGTTTTCAATTGCTTTGTAGCTTTGTATCTAATGAGTTGAAAGCATCTATTATGAAGCTTGAAGTTGGAAGGAACACTAAGAAGAAAAAGTTGAGTGAGGCAGAGAGACTGAGTTGGACATTGTAGGTGACAAAGAGTTCAGTGGAAGACGGGAGAGAAGAAGCGGAAGGAAGTAGAAGGGGAAAGTTTATTCTGATCTCAATGAATATACAGGACTGGGGAGTGCAAGGAAGAGAGTGGTAATAAAGGAGATGCTTAGGAAAGAAAATCCTGACATAGTCCTATTGCAGGAAACAAAGTTGGCAGAATTTGACAATGTAGATGGGCTAGAAGTTTGTGCAAGGCGAAAGGGATAAGTTGGGCTTGGGCCCCATCTTGGGGAGCTTCAGGAGGTATAATTACTCTTTGGAAAACAGAGGTGGTGGAGGGAGGTATAATTAATTGGTAAATTCACAGTCTTTATTAAGTTTCAACAAATTTAGGATGGTTATGAGTGGGTGCTAACCAATATTTATGGACCTAATGGGTAGAGAAAGGAATGAAATGTGGGAAGAACTTAGTGATATTAGAGGATTGTGGTAGGGACTATGGTGTATTGGTGGGGACTTCAATGTAGTTAGATTCACTAAGGAGACAAATAATCCGAGGCAAAGGATCACTACAAGCGTGAGGAGGTTTAATCACTTCATCAATTCTTTTGAGCTCAAGGATTTGCGTCTCCTCCAATAATAACTTCACTTGGTCTAATGTCCAATCTACCCCTTTTTGCTCCAGCCCTTATAAATTTCTCTTTTTGGTGGACTGGGAGGAGCATTGGGGTGGGTTATCCTCTAGGACTTTACCTAGGGTAACCTTGGATCACTGGCCAATTTCCCTATTTATGGAGAAGTTGAAAAGTCTAGGTCCCGTCCCTTTCAGATTTGAAAACAAGTGGCTAAATGACCTGGGTTTTTATCAAAATGTGAGGGGGTGGTGGGAAGGAGAAAGGCCTAGGGTGAATTGGAAAGGGATATTTTTCCATAGGAAGCTAAAGGCCTTGAAGACTAAGATCAAGGATTGGAATTTAGAGCAGTTTGGGAGACTTGAAGCAAGAAATCAGGAGGTAGTGTGTCAAATTGAAGGGGTGAACTCTAAGGAAATTTGGGGCTTCTTGGAGGGAAGTGATAGAGAATTAAGGTGGGCCTTGAAGGGACAGTTGGAAGACATTTTGTTGAAAGAGGAGATTAGTTGGAGGAAAAAATCAAGGGTAAAATGGTTTCATGAGGGCGACAAGAATACATGATTCTTTCATGTAATGGTCAATGCTAGAAGAAGGAAGAACTTTATTTCTAAATTGGAGATAGGGGGTGCAGTCATCACTGTACAGGGTGAGATTGCACAAGCCTTTGTGGAGCATTTTAAGTTGATCTAGAGAAGACCTCTAGTTGAAACCTTGTGGATTGAGGGTTTGGATTGACATACATGTTAGGAGACCAAAAAGTTTGGTTGGAATGACCTTTCGAGGCGGAGGAGATTAGGAGAGCAGTGTTTTGCTATGGATAGAGCCAAAGCTCTAGGGCCAGATGGGTTTACTATGGCATTCTATCAAGACTGTTGTGATTTTTTAAAAGATGATTTGTTGGAGGTTTTTGGGGAGCTAACCATCCCAAAGATTTCAGACCTATCGGCATGGGGAATAGCTTGTATAAAATCTTAGTGTAAGTCTTATCTAAGGATTTAGGAAGTTCTCCCCTCCTTGGTGGCTCCCAACCAAGGGGCCTTTGTGCAAAATAGGCAAATCCCAGATCGGATTTTAATTGCCAATGAGTTTGTTGAGGACTTGAGGAGATCTAGGAAGAAGGATATACTTTGCAAATTGGATTTGGAAAAAGCTATGATTTGATTTAGTTGATTGGACATTTCGAATTGAGGTTATGAGTCGTTGTAGATTTGGAGAGAGATGGTGCAAGTGGATACGGGGATGTTTAAGTACTCGTCACTACTCAATATTAGTAAATGGCACAGTGGTAGATTTCTTTCCAGCCAAGCATAGGATAAGACAAGGAGATCCCCTTTCCTCCTTTCTATGCACACTTATAGTGGATGTTTTGAGTTAAATCCAATTGAGGGCAGATTTGAGAAGGCTAGTGTGAGGTTAGAGCGTGGGGAGAGATGTACCCATTACCCATTTACAATTTGCAGATGATACTATTCTTTTTTGTGTGAAGGAGATGATCTAGAATGGGTAAGGAAGCTAAAGCTTTTGGTGCAGCTGTTTGAAGGGATGTCAAATTTAATCATAAATTTTGAAAAGTGCTGTTTAGCTAGGATAAATATGGGGTGTTGGTTGAGTGTGCATATATTTTAGGTTGCAGTGTTTTGTCGTGGCCTTTGACCTATTTCGGGTTATTAGAGACAGATGTCCTTTCTTCCAAGGGATAAGCTGGGATGTTGTGTGTAGAGATAAGAAAGCAGGGGGGTTTGGGTTTAGGGAATGTAACAGCTTTGTTAGGGAAGTGGCTTTGAAGATTGATTGCCTTAGGATAGGACAAACTGTGGACAGAGGTGGTAGGGACAATGGATGTGATACTGGTGTAATGCCTAGGGCAAACCGAACCGCACCTTGGAAGGCCATTAGTGCATTTTACCTCTGTTTCCTTTATCAGATACAACCTTTGTAATGGTAACAATGTTAAATTTAAATGGCTGACTAAGGACATTGAAGTTCAATGCAAATGGGTAAAGAGAAGTGCAAATTCATTTGCAGATGGCTTAGCTAGGCAAGGGGTGAATAGGAGTTCTGTTTTTTGGGCTCATTGTAATTGTTCTTATTATTTTGATGTTTGACTGTTCTGGGGATCTAAGATATTTTAGCTCCTCTCCTCTGTAATTTTATTCTTAATTAATGAATCTTCTGTCATTGATAAAAAAAAAATCTAAGTTCCTTGTTCAATCTCCATTTTCAAATAATGGGGTTGGGATTTGGGTTTCCAGAGGGGTATTAGAGACTCTGAGCTTCAGTGTGTACTTAGCCTATTACAACTATTGGAAGGAGTCTTCCTAGAACCTTTAGGACCTGATAGCTGAATGTGGACCTGTACCCCATTTGGGTCTTTCTCATGTACCTCCTTCAAAACCTTGTTACAGCCCTCCACTAGTGGGTCTGCCTCCTTTTCTAGTGAAAGAGGTGTGATGCAAAGCTATTCCACCAAGGATTGCTGCCTTTTGTTGGGAAGTTGTACATGGAAAGGTTAACACCCTTGATCTACTTTAAAGAAAGCAGTTGAATTGGTGTTTATCCCCTCATTGGTGTGTGTTGTGTAAGGCTGATGGTGAGAGTTGCTTTCACCTATTTTATTTCTTGTTCCTTTATTACTTCTATTTAGGATTGGTGCTTTTCTCTCTTTGGGTGCAGGCGGAATCCTCCGGCGGATGTTCAAAGCCCATTTGATATAACTATGTTTGGCTGGTCAACAAAAGTGAAAACTTAATGTGGAGATGCATAAGAGCTGCTGTTCTGTGGACAGTTTGGGAAGAAAGGAGTGCAAGATTTTTTTTTTTAAGAAAAAGAAAGATATAAAGATGGCATCATTGAAAAATTCGAGATAAAAGTGGTGCATTAGCTGAAGTCCTTGGTAGCCTTCTCTCATGTGTCAACTGATTTACTAAGAAGTTGGAAGGAAGTGGTGGACTCTGGTCATCAATCATCTTTGGTCTCCACCGATTAGAGGATTTGTTAAGCTTAATTTTGATGGTAGTAGTTTGTGGAATACTGGACCATCATGTATTGGAGGTGTATTTAGAGACGAGGAAGGTAAAATCTTTGCTATGTTCTATGGGCCAGTTGGGGAGGGAGACTCCCTGAGAGCAGAAGTGTTGGAAGTAGTGGAAGGTATTCGAAGGGAAAAGTTGATGAACATTCACAAGCCATTTGTGGAGGGAGATTCAAAATTGGTAATTAGCTGGTAAAAAGATGGGGGGGGGATGAAAATGTGGCTCTTCAATAATGAGAGGAACTAAATTAGGTGGGTAACCAGAGAGATGGATTTTTTTGGGGGAGATATTCTCTGTTCCAGGCACAATTATAAGGGAATTCGATTTGTTCATGGAGAGATAAGAGGTTTTATCTCTCAAGGACTTTGTCTGCATTTTTATGTGCTATACATTTTCTTCATATTTTAATTAATAAAATGTTTGAGTTATTGATAAAAAAGTGCATATTTTGAAAATTCTGTTTATCTCAATGGTTAAATTCTTTAATGAGATATAGCTAAATGGATTTGGAAACTACAGGGTATATTTAACTAGTTTAGTGAAAGCATTGGGTATATTTAAGTGATTAACCCAAATATTTTTCATCTGCTAAATATTGGATGACTTGCTTGCAAGTTATGGACTCATTTCAGCAGGGACTTCGGAGTTGATTTTGTTGAAGCTGACTCAATAGTCAATATAGAGGAGGTTACACAAATGGCACCATGTGGCCAACTCTGCCAAGAACCAATGGAAGGAGTGAAGTTAGAGAAGGATGGAAGGGTGTTTTAAATGGCTCAATTAGGGGTAGGGTTTTTACATCCCTCTTCTTAGGCCTTTTTGCCCATGGTGGCTGATCCTCTATTGAGAGTTAAGTTTGGAGTTAAAAAAAGAATTGTTCTCAATTCTTTTGAGGCTTTTTTGTTGCACTTGTTATGTTCATCTTTTTGGTTATCTAAGGTCAAAGTTTGTTACTGAGGCTGTTAAATGTTTTTATTTTGTAAAAAGTCAAAAGGGTTTTGCTGTTCTCTTCCTGCAATTGGGGGATTGTTTTGTGTCTATGGTTGTTGCTTTCTTTGATTCTATTTTATATTTTTCTACATTTGACTTGTCATACAGATATATTTTTTGAAATGCTGGTGAGTATATCCCATTTCTAAGTTTCTATCGGAGTATGATGCTGTGATTGGCCATATTCTTTTGTTGGAACATTTCATTAACGCTGGCTGAGTTTTTTCTTAATGTAGATTTAATAGCCAAAAAGGGGAGTGATGTGTGGTGGTACATGACAGTGGAAGAGCTACTTCCAGATAAATATCGCAGTATGGCATCGGAATATCAAAAGGGAACTGATACGATGGATGTGTGGTTTGACTCAGGTATTTATATATGAACTAATTAGTAGTCTCTGATTTTTCTTGTAGATGTGCTGATTTTAGTGTCCTTTTGATTTCCTCCTTAACAAGCATTGAGTAGGCCTTTTTCTTTTATGAAGCACTATTGACATTAAACTTGATTGGGGGGGGGGGGTATTTGTCTTTAGACAATTACATCTTTGCTATTTTCTAGGTATGTCAACTTATTAGTAAATGTGCACCCAAACTATCACTCTATAAAACAAGAATTACACATTTCAGTGGACATATAATAGTTTCGAATAATTTTTATGCAGGGGAATGCTGGCATTTAGGATTAAGTAGAAATAATTCTAGGAATGGGAAGTTCAGGGGTGAAGCATGAAAAATAGCTGGCCAAACTGTGCGATGGTATCACTGAGTTAGGACATAAGCAATACAAAAATCTAAGATGAATCACAGCTTTTTGGGTTATTCTAGTACTCTAGGCGGAGGTCTTGGATGTGATTGGAAGTTTTTCTGCTTTCATTACATCCAAAGTGTAGTGGTACTGGATGTATTACTATGCCCTTTAAACAACCTATTGTTCCTCTCCTCCTAGATTGACAATAGAAATGCCCCTCTTGTTGCTCTCCACATCAACTTTCCTCTTCTTTTAGGCATAGGTATAAAACCTGGGCTGAAGAGATCCTATTTGTAGCCAAAAGTAGAGTGGAAGTACATCCAAACGTTAGAAATAAATGAATAGGAGATTAGTAGATGGGGAATAGTCTCACCTTTATAATTTCATTTTGGGAAGATGATGTCAATATGGAAGGGCGATGAAGATAATGGTGAATTAAGTAGTCCCCTGTCTGAATCTCTATTTGTCCTTATTTTTATGAATGTGCAATGAAATCTAATGCATATATCTATTACAAGTTGGCAACAATTCAATAGCATAATCATGGTTTGCAATTTCAACAGTGGACATTTCATCAACTAGAGATGGGAGAATTTTTTGGGATAGTTTGCTAATTTTTCTATGATATTTGTAAAATCTAAAAAAAGGCAATTTTGTAAAAATTTGAAATTAGTTAATAAAACTTCAAGGAGTTGTTAGAAGCACAATTATGCATTAAGCCTTGAAAAACCATAGCAAACAACTATAAAAATCAAATAAGAGTAGATTAGGAGACCTACATAGGTATCTTTCTCTTTGTGTTGCTTTATGTCTGTTAGCCATCTTTTCATTTTGTATGTCATTTTTTTCCATTTTAGCCTTTTGCTTTTTTGCTACTATACGTTTTAACCAGACTGAGAATCCTCTTTTGTTGTATGCCTTTTTTTTTTCTTTTGATATATACTGACCTAGTAAGTGTATTATATCAAAATAGTAATCAATCTTCTAATCCCCAAATCCCCATTTTTTTTTTCATTTAGGAAAATGTTCTTAAAAAATTATGAAGATTTTTGTGATATATCAGAAAGTTCCAAAGTATTGTAAAAATTTAAACCTTGAATGTATAGTCTATCAATGAAATCTAAAATATAGCCAACTTATCAAAAACATGTTGGCGATATTAGGAAATTTTTTTTTGGAAAATTTCATGTGGCCATATAGCAAAATAAGGAGATTTCGAAGAAATTTCTGTGTATCTCACCGATATTGCAAACCATCAGAATAACATTGGTAACTAGATTGTAACCTCTATGCTACCTTCTGGCAACTTTGTTCAACCTCTACATTACGAGTCCTTAATTGAGGGATGTGTAATAATTAAAGCATGGATGCATTACTGTTTTGAATACCTTTTGAGATTCTCCGTTTGCTGAAGCTCATTTAGTACAACCTTATTATCCATATATTTAGAAATATTTTTTGTGTAATTGTTGTTCTTTTACTCTAAATTTGCATTACTTGTCTGGAAGCCTTAAGGCTGTGTTTGGTTTGAATGAAAAGGTTGGGAAATGTAGGGAAACCTGTACAATTGAGGCTGTGTTTGGTTTGTACCGGTTTCCCTACTTCCCTTCCTTTCTCTACCTTTTTCTTTCAAATCAAAACAGCCTAATCTGATAAATTCAGCTTCTATTCCATGATTGCAGTTGCGTTTTGTCGTTTCTGCATGCTGCATTCCTTACAAATATATGTTATACTGTTGATTCCAATAGCTTGACAGTCATGTAAATATGGTTCTTTCTTGCATCTGATATCATTCAATTCCTTTATTTTTTGTTTTAGGCTCTTCTTGGGCTGCTGTACTGGCAAAAAGAGACGGGCTTAGCTGCCCTGCAGATTTATATCTTGAAGGTACAGATCAGCATCGTGGATGGTTTCAAAGTTCTTTGTTAACAAGTATTGCAACAAGAGGTAATGGGCATTTCTAATGTCTTTAACATCTCCAACAATTTTGAGATTTGACATTCTTGGACATGCCTTCAACAACTTTGTAATCTGCGAATGTTAGCAATTATAGGCAAAAGAAGAATTCCTATTTCATTTATGACCTTTTATTTCCTTGATGTTTCGGTTAGATTCATTTCTACTTTTATGTGTATGCTTAGATTGAGACATGGTTTGGAATTTTGATATTAGTGGACGCTTCTCATGCAGAAACAAGAAATTTTGGAAATATTTGTCTAATTTCACTAAGTTATTTGGAAAATCTAAAGGAGTTAGGGTTAAATTACTATTAATTTGGAATTAGTTAGTGAAACTTTATTGATTCTTAGAAGCATAACTTTACATTTAAGATCTAAAAAACTATTGTAATCAACTGCAGATATTGGATAAGAGAAGCTTAAAGGCTTAAATGGGTATCTCTCTGTCTCTCATTTAGTCTTTAGCCATCTTGTCTTTTATATTTATGTTGTTCATTTGCCATTTTGATTTCCTTATTTTTTGTTATAGGAGAAAATAAAAATGGTAGAAAATAGAACTATTAAAGATTATGAAGGTTTAGTGGCAGGAACCAGAAGAGAAAAGAGACCAGAATAAAAGAAGAGTGAGAAGAAAAAGAAGGGTTTGGAAGAAAGTATTGTGGTTGTCTACCAGCTCCCAATCTTGTTTTATTAGATCTAACTACTAATTAATGAGTATTTATAAGAATACCCCTAATAGGGTGGCTATTCATATAAGCACAGAAAATAGGATGTAGGACCATTGTAACCATGGTCCAATAACTAAAATAAAAAGAACACAGGTTGCTGGCCCAACAACTCAACACTCCCCCTCAAGCTGAGCATTGATGTCAATCATGTCCAGTTTGCTTACATACTACTGTAGCTTAGGCTTTAGAACCCCCTTGGTTAGAACATTAGCCAACTGTTAATTAATGAGTATTTATAAGAATACCCCTAATAGGGTGGCTATTCATATAAGCACAGAAAATAGGATGTAGGACCATTGTAACCATGGTCCAATAACTAAAATAAAAAGAACACAGGTTGCTGGCCCAACAACTCAACACTCCCCCTCAAGCTGAGCATTGATGTCAATCATGTCCAGTTTGCTTACATACTACTGTAGCTTAGGCTTTAGAACCCCCTTGGTTAGAACATTAGCCAACTGTTCTTTAGATGCAACATGCAAGAAATGGTAGGCAAACTTCTCCAGATGTGGCTCTTCCTGTATGAAATGTCTATCCACTTTAATATGCTTTGTATGTTGGATAGGATTATGGCTATGTTAATAGTTGCTTGATTATCACAATACAACATTATCAAATTATTATAGACCAATGGTACGAGTACATTCAAAAATAAGATTGAAGTGTTGGTATGTGACCATTGTAGGAGACCTGTAGAAAAGGTCGAAAATAATATTTTTAGTGGGTGTTTATTGCTGTTTTCTCTTTTTCCTTTGTTTATTAGTTATGGGCTTTTTCTCTGTGGGCTGGCCCACTTTCTTATTTGTTTATTATGGTTATAATAATAAACAATGAGGGGCAGCATTGTAATCTGCTCATTAATATCTTAAAGTATAAAAGAAATTGGGGACTCGATGTTGATGATATTGTGGTGAAGTGATTCAGATGGTATTGCTCATCTTAAGTAATTACTAGCCGATGAATTTGAAATTAAGGATCTTGGTGTGTTACGATAACATTCTTTGAAGTGAGATATCTAACTTTCTTCAAAGAGAGAGAGAGAGGGAGGGTCTTCGATTTTTTAATAAGCCATATAAATATTTCATGTTGCTGATCCAAAATGAAATGATGTCATTTGATATTTGTTAATAGTACGACAGTTAGTACAGTAATATAACATTATTTGTCAATTTTTACAGGAAAGGCTCCATATTCATGTGTTATAACACATGGATTTGTACTTGATGAGAAAGGTTTAAAGATGAGCAAATCTTTGGGTAATGTTGTAGATCCTAATATTGTGATTGAAGGAGGGAAAAACTCCAAGGTTTGGCACTAATGGCTAATACTTTTTACAATTTTCTTTGTCTTATACACTTCATGGTCATCTTGTTTCTTCTTGACAGGAAGCAACTGGTTATGGAGCAGATGTCCTACGACTTTGGGTATCAAGTGTAGATTATACTGGTGATGTAATGATTGGGCCTCAAATCCTACGGCAAATGTCTGACATATATAGGAAACTTCGAGGGACATTGCGATATCTCTTGTCAAATCTGCATGACTGGGATGTATGTTCAAGATTTTAGGCAACTGTTTCTTGTGTGTGTGTGTGTGTGTGTGGTGCACATCTGTGTATGTATGTGTGTCATCCTCATTTTTGGGTATATGAATAGAAGCATTTCTTTACATTGCTTTATGCTTCCTTTTTCTGTCTTTCTCATTTGTAGCCGGAGAATGCAGTTTCATATAGCAATCTTCCAATGATTGACCAGCATGCACTGTTCCAGCTTGGAAATGTTGTAAAAAGTATCAAAGATAGTTATGAAAATTATCAGTTTTACAAGATATTTCAGGTAAAATGGTTTCCTAACCACATCATTTTGTATGCATCTGCATGGCTATGTGAAGTTACGGCCTAAGAAGTATTGGGTATGTTTTGATTGGATATTTCATGTAACTATATATGTAGCTATTGTGCTTATGCTTGATGTCATAAATTAACTTGAAATAAATAATCAGCTTTGCTTTGTATCTTTCTATCAGGTTGTCTGCTTTATTCATTCATGAACATTCACTTGCACCCCTCTAGTACCTTCCCATTAGGAAGATTAAGAAGATCTCAGGTCTGATTATTTCCATGTGCTTTTTTTTTTGATGAATAACATAGAACTTTCATTAAAGATTGGAGAAATAAGTACAAAGAAGATGGGGAGAGGTAAAATCTCTTAACCGTCCCCTAGGGAAAACAACAAACAAAGAGTATCCACCTAGAAATTGGCGCTTCTCTTTACCCATTTTATCTGAAGTTCCAAGCCTTGTGCTAACTGATTAAACAATCTTTTTTTTCATTTGCATACTTCCATAGACCACTAAGCTTGCGACAGTTCAGATCCTTAGCCTTCTTCATGCCTTCCATCACTGCCAAGACCTCAGCCCGGAGAGAGTCTCCAACACCAATAGGACCAGAATATAAAGCAATGACTTTTCCTTCTTCATCCCTAAAGGCTCCACCTATGCCTAAAGGCCCTAGATTACCTTCACTACTGCCATCAAAATTCAGTTTGACAAACCCATTGGCTGGTGGAGACTGTAGAGAACACTGATGTGGGCCCCACATCTGTGGTCCCACTCTGTCCGTAGGGCAGAATGTTCCTAGTCATCCTAGGGTTAGCTGCTGTTATTCTAGTTATTTATTTTTCAGTTTTATATTATTATGTGTTATGTAAATACCAAGGGCAGATGTGTCCTTTCATGTAACTAGCATAACCTATAAATATTAAATAGAAGTGGCGGCGGCAGAATAATTTAGATTCTGTCCTTTCAAAGTTTGTGTTCTACTGCTCTCTCTCTTCTCTTTCTCCTCTTTCCTCTACACTTTCTCTTCTTTTCGAACCTGAAATTTCTTAGTGTTCAAGACTGCTATCAGTCTTGAACAACTACAGAGACCAAAGGGAAACAATTCTTGTCTTTGCTGGGGCTGAATCTGCCACCTCCTTCAAATTCCTTCTTACCATGTTGGTGGAGATACCTTCAAACAATTTCAGGGAGTGCACCCACACTACCACTCTAATAGTGACTGCCTGAATGACAGTTTCCTTACTACTTTCCTTATCAGAGAATATTCTTGAATTCCTTTCTTCCCAAACAGTTCAACAAATGGCAGCCCTAACACATCTCCATAGAGTCCTACCCCTCTTCTTTGGCCATCTGAAAAAAGACAAGGCAAATAAACTTCGTACATCTCGAGGGAGCGTCCACCTGCAATCAAACAAGGAGAAAAACCAAAACCAAATATCTGAAATAAAAGGGCAGGGAATTAATAGGTGATAGAAATTTTCACCATTAGCCTTATAGAGGACACACCAGTTGGGAGATAACCACCAGTTAGGCATTTTTCTTTGGAGCAAGTCACAAGTGTTACACCTATCCAGAAAGGCTTCCCAACAAAAGGCCCCAATCCTAGGAGGAATTGGTTTACCCCAAACTTCAAGAACAGGAAAGTTAATTCCCGGGCTATCAAAAGGCTGCATTAAGGCTTTGAAAAAGGAGGCACAAGAAAACATCCCAGAGGAGGTCAAATTTCAAATCCTACTATCCCCCGCCCTGGATCCAAAAAAGCCCCACCCAAGATCTGAATTAGAGCCGAGACAGAAAGGATTTCAGAATCCCTAAGGCCCTCCTAAAACCCAAGTCCCAATCAAACCCAGAGCCAGAATCTGAAGGAACAAGAAAAGTGGACACTGGCTCATCTTTAAAGGAAGACGGGGAATACAAAGAGGGGAATTGCTCCTTCAAACAGATATCCCCCACCCAATTATGTTCCCAAAATTTCACCCAATTGCCAGAACAAAGGTCATACCTGATACAAGCCAAGAAGGGAGGGAGAATAGCATGAATAGATCTCCAAGGGGAGAGAGAAAAACTCTTAACCCTCCCCAAGACAGTCGAAAAAAAAAGTTACAGCACAGCCCAAAACAAATGTTCCCTTCCCATCCCTTGTTTAACCAGAGTATCTGCAATGGAATTTGCAGATCTCTTCATCCAATGAAACTGAATCTCTATTCCCCAAGTTACCCAGTCAAACTCTCTTTTATCATTAGCAAATTTCCATAGTTTACTATTCTCCTTTTGCAGCCAACCTATCACCAGTTTAGAATATCCTTCTACAATTAGCTTTTGAATATTCAATTCCTCTGCCTTCTTTMCCCCTTCCAACCCTGCCATGACCTCGGCCTTAAGAGAATCAGCAGCCCCAATAGGACCAGAATACATCACGATTACTTTCCCCTCTTCATCTCTAAAGGTTCCTCCTACACCTGAGGGCCCCGGATTATCCTCACTACTATCATCAAAGTTCAGTTTAGAATCTCCTTCCATATTTTTATTCATTGCCTCCCTCCAATCAGGTTATGCTACTACTTCTGCAACAGTTTGAGGAACAGGAAGAAAAGAGGAAATAACAGACATGAAAACCCAATATGAAAGAGGCACATGATTATAATACAAATAATAGGTTAAAAGGTAAGCATTATTGCAGATAAACTGTGATGAGACTCGGTACTATAGAGCTTCCCCTTGTACAAGAAAATGGGAAGTTCAAGATCAATGTTAGGAGAAGAAATAATGGATGCACCATCAATAGCAAGAGGATTGACAAGAGGAGAAATGGTTGAACTGAATGACTTTTTTTTTCTAAAATATTCAAAGGCAAAATAGTCGACCCAGTTTCAGCTTGATCTATTAAGGAGCTTGCAACCTCCTGAATGACTTTTTTTACTAAAATACAAAACAATACATAATTCAGTTCGGCCACTTCAGCTTTTATCAAATGGTCCCTAATGCTTTGTGGCCAATCTGTGCTAGGCTCCACCTATATATTTTCCTTCTTTCTCCTAGCATAAACTTGTACTTCCTTGTTTGGCACTGCACTTTCAGAGGTAAATGGATGGCCACAGAAATAGGCAAAGGAAACACAAAACTTCTCTCTTTGTTAGTACTCCCCCTAAAGTGAGACTTGAGAAGGAAAACACTAATCCAACCCAAAAAAGGTAACATTTTTAATAACAAACCTTCTTCTAGATATAAAAAATCTTTTTTTCTAGATATCAGATAAAAGTGCCTATATCCCTTTTAAGTAGATGAATACCTAGAAAGGCACCATGTATTGAGTTGCTTTAAATTATAATTTATTTGGACCCAGGACATAAATACAGCATATGCAACCAAAAACATTAAGTGGAAGAGGAAATAATGACCGGTCAGGGATGGTGATTTGATGTGGGGACTTACAACCAAGCACCCTAGAGGCATCCTATGAGGTGGAAGAAAATATAACGGTATCCACAACATCTTCCCAAATTTTCACATGAAAATTCATACCATACAATAAGTTCTTGGAGACCTCCAATATATGGTGCTTTTTTCTTTCAGCCACACCATTTTTTTTGTGGTTTCTTTGCACTGAACTTAGATGCATAATTCCTTTCTCTTAGGTACACAGTTAAGTTCTTCTCAAAGTACTCTTTTGCATTATCTGATAGAAATATTTTAATTTTCTTTTAATATTATGTGTTGATCATGCTGTAAAAATCCTGATAATTTGAGGAATTTCATCTTTGTTATGAAAGTGGTACAACTACATGACAAGTCATCCGCATATAAAATAACAGTTGCCTCTCATTATGGGTAAATGGTTAAGCCCCAAAAATTTGCATGCTTTATATTGAATGGAATCAATTTCTTTTATTCATCAAAATGTAGAAAATTCGCAATGACTAATAGACATACCTCACTAAAACTTTGAAGTAGAAGAAGACTTAAATAACTCGGGGAACAAAAACTTCAGTTATTCAAAAGAAATGTGACCCAAATGCATATGCCATAATTTGTTATTAATAACAGTAATGATGTACCAGTGACTCGTTAAAACCACGTAACTGAAGTTCCACAGATTTCTTGGACAGGTCATCTAGCAACTAAATGCCCTTTACTTCATGGTCATTTCCTATCTTCCTCATTTTCTTTGGGTCCTGAAAATACAATGGTTGGGGAAGAATACTACATAACAATTTAACTATCTTCCCTCAAATATACAATCATGTTGTATCATGAATACTACATAACAATCACATCCCAAAACATGATTGTACTTCATTGTCATTTCCTATCTTCCCAATTCTTTGGTGTTCGCTTCATGAATCCCACCATTTTGCTCTATGAAAAGCCATGTTTTCTGTCAAATTACTAGCCTCTAAATCATTTCTTACCAATTCAGACTGCATTTCTCTAATCTCCCCCTTCCTCTTTCCGTGCCTTCTACTAAATTCACTCATTGGCCTAATCATTGGTCATCTGTACACAAACCATCCTTTCCAATGTGCTCATTTCTGATTCTATCTTTCTAACCTTACTACTCAACATCCTCAACTCAGCTAAACTAATTTTTTAACATGTTTCTGATTTTCTGTCAATCCAATTAAAATATAAATTTATATTTTGTTGATAAAAAATGTTGTCTATTGAGCATTACTTGGACCTGGGTGACCAGGGTTCGTAGATGGAAACAGTCTCTTTGTTTGTGCAGGGGTAAGGTTGTGTAGATCTGTCTCTCCCCAGCCCCACATTGGTGGGAGCCTCATGCACACCCTTTTTTATTTATAGAGCATTACCCACTTAAAATGGCCATAATCACTACTAAAAACCTCTCTAGTTCAGTGAGAGTAGGAGATATAAAGAGTATTAACAGCCTAACATTATTTCAACTATCATCATCAGCTGGGAGTTTTATTGCTTTCTTTTATGTTATTTGCAAAAGTGGAAATAAATGCTACAAAAATTGCATAGAAATTTTATTTCAGAGAGACAAGAAAAAGTTTGTAGATATAATTTGGAATCTGTCTCTGGCATGGCATAAGCATCAATGTTTGTACTATTATGAGAAATATTAGAGTTTCTTGTATTTTGTTGCATTCTGATCCTTTTCTCTTTTATTTCAGATCCTACAGCGTTTTGCTATTGTAGACCTGTCAAATTTCTATTTTGATGTTGCTAAAGATCGACTTTACGTTGGGTATTTATTAGTTCTTCTTTATCCATATTTCCGATTCATGCCTAATTGCCTTTTGTCTTTCTTTTTTCCTAATTTATCTCTTTCCCTTTTTATTTTGTTTGTTACATGTAAAATCATTGTTTTTAATTGGTAACTAACAATATTTCATTGATATAATAATTATTATAAGGGATATCATCTAAAACTCACCATGACTTTTTCACATTTCTCTTAAACTGACCATGACTTTTCAAAACCTCTAGAGAGCCCCCTGTCAGTATGTTTTATTGTCTAAAACTCATCTTTTGTGTCTTTCTTTTCCCCCGATTAGACTTTTTCAGTTAAAAATAAAAATTAGACCTGTTCATGCCCTTGAAATCCTTGTGAGCCAATGCCTGTTTCATTATGATCAAACTAATATTCTTGCATATCCTATGCAAGGGATAAGCTTTGAAGAGACTCTTCGGTTCATTTCCTTCCAAATGCTTCATAATGTGGCAAATAGTGTCACCCACCATACAATCACAATGTGTCAGCCCCAAATTTTTAAATTTTTTGGGTACTTGGCAAGATAGAAATAAATGTTTTTTCTTTTGAGAAAAGTTGACTGATTTCATTAAACAAAGAGAGGGGTACACAAGAAGGTGTACAAGGAGAAGAAAAAAGAAAAACAGGGATCAGACCCCTAAGAATTACACGGGGGGTTCTAAATCCTCTGCAAGAGAATTGAGTTCCCTTGGGATCCAGTGCAGGTTTGCATTTGAAGCTGTCAATAAATCCCCTGCTTCTGCCAGAAAGTGACCGAGTCTCCACGGTCCAGCTTCCTGTCTTCCTAACCACTTTATGGTGTTAGCTGAATCTCCCTCTATGGATAAGTTCTGAATGCCTATCCGGTTAGCTGAATTGGATTCCCGTAAGTGCAGCCATCACATCTTCCTTGGAAGAGTCACCTGTGGCGCGCCTAGGTGCACAGTCGAGGCGCATTTTAGGGTAGGTGCCTTGCCTAGGTCCTAGGTGCAGCCCTTTCATTTTGAAAATTTGACGCTTTTTTGAGTCTAGCAGCTAGGCCCCCACTCTGGTTCACTTGCTTCGCTCGCTTACTGAAGTTTCAAGAACCCCCCTATTTGGTAATGTTGTCCATTCATTCATCCTAATAAGATATCTTCTTAAAAAGCAATTAAAACTATAAAATCATTATTTTTTTGTGAAAACTAAGAATTTAAGACCCTAACATGGACCTTATTTAGGCTAGCCTCGAGGGGCGTGGCACAAAGGCAGCTCGTAGAATCAGGATTGTAATGTCACATTAGCTACTTGAAGTAATGTAACTGAGAAAAAAAGAGATTGTGGGTTTTATATGCTTGAAAATGTTTTATATGTTTGATTTTATTTTTAAAATCTTATTTGAAATTTAAGTTTATATTTTTATTTTATGTGGGTTATATTTTATGTATTTTAATTTTAGATAATAGGTTTTTTAAAACATTTATTTTAAAATTTAAGTTTATATTTTTATTAATATTATGTTTAATAATTTTTTGATTTTTTTTTGCATTTTTGGCTTTTTTTATTATTTTTTTGATTTTTGATTTTTTAGCTTTTTTTTTTTTTTTAATTTTGCGCCTTGCTTAAAAAGGTGCGTACCTCGCCTTTCATCTTGCGCCTCAGGCGCAAATTGACCCCTGTGCCTTGTGCTTTTAAGACACTGAGCTGCACCTATCAGTCCACTGTACACCCAGCAGATGTTTCCATTTTCATCCCTTAGTACTCCTCCAATACCAGCAGCTCTGGGGTTTCCTGAAGCACTTCCATCGAAGCTTAGGGTCCATGTTTCTTCTGTCCTAAGGAGAGGCTCCCTGTAGATGGGGGGGGGGGAGGAGGAGAAAAGGAAGAGGCCACCATCCCTGTTGAGGTCATTTATGGAGACTCCTTTAAACTTGTCTGAACTGGCTGCCCACTGATTACAGAGGTAGGTGATGTCTGAGTTCAAATCAGTCCTTGATCTTGCCTTGTTCTCAAATAGACAGTTGTTCCTTTCTTCCCAAACTCCCCAAAGCACAACATGCAGAATTATTTGCCAAAGCACAGCATGTAGAAATAAATGGTTTTTTCCTCTTCCACCTCTTCACAAAGAACATGTTTGCTTGTCAAGTTGATATTTTTCAATTTTAGCTGATCTTGAATGAAGATATTCTCCAAACCTTTCATTCAAGCTAATGCCTACAGTCTTGTTGATGCCCTCTTTTTTTTGATAAGTGAACAATGATTTTATTAATAAGAAGGGGAATGTACATTCACCCTAAGAGGAAGCACGAGATGTTACCTCCCCTTAGAGGTGAGTGCATAAAACAAAACTTAGCAGAATACAATCATAGAGTGGCAGAAAATAACTCAACCCTTGAGGCCCCTTGTTTTGCCAAAGAATCTGCCATGGCATTTGCTGATCTGCTGACCCACTGATAGGTGACTGACATATTTCTTGTGAGCCAATTAACTTTCTTAAGATCTTTGTAGCCCCATAGAACTGTTTCTGGACTCGACAACCAATCCACTACCACCTTAGAATCTCCCTCAACTATCAGATTTTCCACTCCTAGTTGGTTTGCAGCATGTGTTCCTTGCTCCACAGCCAGTATCTCAGCCCTTGTTGAATCTCCAACTCCCACTCCCACTGGTCCTGAGAATGGGAATAGGATGTTTCTATCCTTATCTCTTAAGATCCGTCCTATGCCCGACTGCTGCCATCAAAATTCAGCTTTACCACACTCTCTGTAGGAGGTTTCCACTCTATCTGTAGTCTATTCTTTTTGGGGGCTGTGGAGGCCACCTCTGCCCAACTTTCCCAGAGATCATCAAAAGAATAACCTTTAAACAGATCTGAAGTTTTTAGCCAATGAATTGTTCTTGTCAAAATGCACTTCTTTGCTTCATCAATGCTTCTTTCCTTTTCTTGCATTATTCTAAAATTCTTTTCCTCCCAGATAGTCCACAAAATGGCTGCTCTGATACACTTCCACATTAGTTTCCCTCTCTTAGTTGGCTGCCCAAAAGTAGATGCCTAGACGGATTAAAAAGCAGGTTTAGTTCAGAGGGCAAGGTCCATCTGAGGAAATTAGGGAGGGTGCCTGAAATTGCCTTCCAAGGGGTTGTGAGTGAAGCCTGTTGAGATACCCCCGCATCCGAACCAGTCTCAGAACAGCCATGAATGCTAGCCACCACCTCATGCCATAACCTCTTTTTTGATTCAGCTCACTACTTCCCAGGTGACCAAATGATCCTTTTTTCCTTCCCCTGGCTCCCATAGGAAGTCCCTCATCAATTTTTCAATCCTCATTGATTCCCTCTTACCCTATAACTTTCTTTGGCAACACTTGAAATTACCCTATTATAATATGAGCTCACCAAGAACTCTCCCATGGGCTTATCAGTGCATACCCATTGATGCTCTATCTAGAAAGATCATTTCATTTTCCATTACTTGCAATAACCTTGTAAACTCCTTTTTATGGTGATCAAGCAGTGGCCTTTTAAATGACAGTTGCAAGATCTCCTTTTTCATAGCATTTACTCATATTGTGATTTTAATCCTGACTAAGATTGTACTGCTGGGGCAGACGTTACAGTTTGCTGTCAAAGATCCAAGCATCTTCTAAAATTTGACCTGAGATCCACTCTCGCATCTAGGGTTGTCAATTGACCGGTTTTGGGTTGGACCCCGTTGAAATCAAAATCAATTTGGATGGATTGGGCGGACCAATAAGACATTGAATTGAACCAGTCCAGACTTAATGGTCCAAAATATTTATTGGATTGGATTGGACCTGGTCCATCCATAATGGATTTATATTGTATTGAGTCAGATTGAACCAAATATCAGGTTCATTGATAGAAGATAGGAATACAGGTGTCAATGGACCAGGTTTGGTTTGGAACACATCTAAATTGAAACCAATTTGAACAGATTGGATGGTCCAGACATTGAATTGGACCGGTCCAATATGGTCCTAAGAATTCATTGGATTGGATTGGTCCTGCCCAATTGACACCCCTTACTCACATCCATTTTATTCACATATTCCTTTTTCTTCTTCCAACTTCCCTTGCTCCCCGTTAATCTTTGTAATTGGTTCATTTCATATAACTTATGTAATTAACTCCTCCATTAAACTCATAATTTTTTTTTTTGTTTTTTGGTAACCATCTAATGTAGAAGACAATACGATATCCTGTAGGCAAATTTTCTCTTAAGAGCTTCCAACTCCTAAATTTCCAATTATGATAACTCACTGCATCTACATCACTGTTTGGAATTGTCACAAAGGAAATGGAAGAAATGGAAACACAACATGATGGGCACTAAAAGAGCTCAACTAATGCCAATATCTTATCACTTGAAAAATTCTAAAATTGGTATAGGAATTAAAATAAAATTGGTTTATTTCTCCATGGATTCTTTCCTTGCTTTGTTATCTATATCATTCTCCGTTGAATTGGAATAACTCATCCTCATGTTTTCAAGTGAGGAAGAATCCATGTTGTCATCATATTCAATGTTTTAAAAACCAACCCGGAGGTCGAACCGTTTTTGCCTCCGGGTTGAATGTGTCAAACCGTTATATGTCATCATTTTATGTATATATATGTATGTATAAACATTTATTATTGAATAAAATAATGTATAATGATATCCTACATGTAGTATATGTATATAAATTTATTATTGTGTTTAATTTATATTTTTTATTTATAAAAAATACTAAAGACTGGAATTTGTGATAAAAAATGGTTTTTTTTTGGCAAAAGTAGCAGGGCAAGGCACCTTCGACTCGTTGGAGCACGTAGATCACAACCCCAAAATTGACATAAAGATAACCCCTATTGGACAGCAAAGCACTAAGTTATGGCCTTCGGAATTTGTATAAACATAGTGTGTAACCGTGACCCAGTGATCTGGTCAAACGGGTTGATGATTCAACTGCCCGGGTGGAATGGGTTTTGACCAAGTCAACCTTTTTTCTCAG